TCTGGACCAGACCAGACCGCACAGGCGTGGTCTGGACCGGATTATATATTTTGTGGTCTGGTCTGTGGTCTATACTTAATCCTCTCGGTCTGGATCATAGACAGTATATATGGTCTGGTCTGGACCAGACCGCACCGTTTCCCAGCCCTAACACGTGGTTGTTCTTAACTAATTTTTTTCGTTTTAGTAATTTAATATTGTAATTTATGACTTATGTAATGTTAGTATATGTGAAATTGTTAGCATATTGGTTGAAGTTATAATGAAAAATTATTAACCATTGATAGACGTTGATATCCGAAATACAATTGGGTATGACTATGATTTTAATATTCTACCCGATTCTTATATCAGTATGAGTATGGAAAATCCAAACTAATTCAGATAAGATAATATATATACACTATCCGACTCCCCGTTGCAAAATATCAGTAGTGCAAAATAGTGCAAAATATTATAATTTTTGTTCTCCATCACTTTAGCTACGTGTTGTTGGGCTTGAGAGCCATGCCCATTACCAAAATAGCATATTTCTTATACAACAATAATCCATATTAAACTTTCATAAGTGCACTGTCATCTCTATTAGAACCCACATGTCATGTTAACCTTTCTCTTATGCAACAGTATCAAACTTATAGTCAAAAGGAAAAGATTGACCGTAATCGAAACTTGGTCCCTAACATATTGAGATTTTTGTCAAAACCATGATGGTTTTGAGGCGAAGGTAGAGATCAAAAAATAGAACATGCAGCAGGGGAATTGAATTGTAGGCCTCCTCTCTTCAGTTTTATCTTCCTCTCTCTCTCTCTGTCTCGCTCTTCCTCTGGTAGCCGTTATAGAAGAAAAGCTAATCATCAACTTCCTTTTGTGATTCGCTTTTCTCAATTTCTTTATTTTCTAATTTTTTATTTCTTTTCTTCATTGGGTTTTCCCGCAATTTGATCAACGAACAGAGGGAAGAAGCAGGGCAGACTCGTAGAAGAAGATCCAGCGGCAGAACACCATGGTTGCAAAAATGCCAACCCAAATTCCACCAAACACGATAGCATGCAGACGGAGGAGAGATAGGTGGTGGAGATGGGTAGGAAGAGAGATATCAAAGTGGATCCGGATCACTCCTTTTGTTATTTTAAGTAGCAGCAACTAACCCACCCGAATAAGTGCTACAACTATGTTCTAGACTCATTTACTTTAACACTTCGCTCATCCATTTCTCTCAAACATTATAATTATCTCGTAGACTAAGATCTTATTCAATTTCTCTAAGTTTTACAAACAATTTGACAAATAAATTTCATTTTACATTGACATTTGAAGAACTTTTATTTTTTATATTTCATAAAAACTTTATACATGATTGTACGGAATGGTGCAGGTGGGTTTTCCCCAAATCGCATACTAGTTGTTTTTTGTATGAAATATTACATCTCACACAATTTTAATTATGGAAATGGTTACGATTTTAAAATCGTGATGATTCGAGAGAAGATATATAGGAAAATCAGCTCCACTCGAATCCGTTTCAATCCCCGTATGATGGCTTTTCATAGTAACTAGGGAGGTGGTAGCCTCACTTCGCAGCGGCTCTGTGATAGGGTATTTGGGTTTGTGGGTTGTTAACTTGTTATTGTAAGCCCGTCCAACTCTTTGTAAATATGGGCCATTAATCTTTAGTGGAACCGGATCTGTGATAGAAATAAATGACTTTATTTTCTCAAATTTTCTTAAATGGTTTTTATTTTTCGTATAATTTGGATTTCAAAATTTTTGTTAATAGATTGACCGTGTTCGTTGTGATCTGCAAAATGAGATCATTTTCATTTTTCAATATATTTTAAGAATATATAGTTTGTTTTTAACTCGAATTTAAGAAAAAAATTATCAAAAGAAATGAGATCATTGTGATCAATTAGATATAAGTTTGGTATCATCTGGGTCTCAATCGGTAAAGATATCAATATATAAGTGTGTCATGATTAAAATCAAACTTGACGCGTTGTTCCAATCCTAGCCTCGATTTATGTTCAGTAAAAATTACAAAAATTGTAAAAACATACCAAAGATCATACCAGTAAAGTTATCATTAGGATATTTTCTGTTAAAATCGTAGTTCAATCATGGTTAAATCAGGTTTTACAAGTTGCTCCAACCCGAGCCTCGATGCATGTTTAGAGAAAAAGACAAAAATGTGTAAAACCATGCTGAAGGTCGAACCGGTAAAATTATTATTAGTATATTTTGTGCTAAAATCGTAGTTAAATCAGACTTAAAACATTGCCCAAACCCAAACCTCGATGTGTGTTTAGAAAAAATCAAAAATTGTAAAACCACGCCGAAGATCGTACCGAAAAAGTTAACATGAGGTTGTTTTATGCTAAAATCATAGTTCAGCGGTGGTTAAATAATTTGATGCAGCTAAAATCACCCATGGATTTAGATTACATTATGAGTTTTTCTATTGGACTGCCAGTACGGTACAAACATAGTTCAATCGTGGTTAAATCATTATATACAGCTAAAATCATCTACCGATCTAAATTCGGTTAGGAGTTTTTATATTATACTGCTGCTACATACAATCAAATATTAAACACGGGATAGCAAATAATAGTTCTAAACTTATGAGAATTCGCAGCGAAGCGCGGGACAAAATCTACCTTGTAATATATATTTGAAACTCCAATTAGGGTTAATACTTTATTTTGGCACGAACTATACCCAAACTTTCTACTTTGGTCCGTGATTTCTGAAATTGCTCCTCTGGCCTGAACTATGCACCATACTTTCTTGTTTGGTCCGACGCAAAATTTCGACAGTCAAATTGGATGATCAACTCCATTGAGCGTTAGCCAAGTCACTTGCCACATCAGCAAACATGAAATAAAAAAGTTTTATTTGCAATTTCTTTAATTTATTTCGTTTTCTAATAACAATAATAATTAACAAAAAAAATAACTCAAAAATTTGGATAACAAAAAATAACTACAAAAATTCCAAATTCCAAACTTTTTATTTTAGGTTTGCTGACGTGGCAAGAGACCTGGCGCTTGATTAAAGGTCAATGGAGTTGACCATTTAATTTGACGGTCAAAACCCGCGTCTGGCCAAGCAAGGAAGTATGGTGCATAATTCAGGCCATGGGAGCAATTTCAGAAACCACGAGCCAAAGTAGAAAGATTGGATATAGTTCGGGCCAAAATAAAGTATTAACCCAAATTATTATTTGATAAATTATTATTTAGCCGCACTCTGTTCCGGCTTGAGAAATGTTAAATGATATTGACTCGTTATTATCTAAACTGAGTATTGATGTCCTACAATCTAGAAATAAGCCAATTTACACTATGTTGCATATGAAGGTCAAAATATATGAATATCGATCTGTGACTTCATATTCCACAAAGTGCCTATTATATTCTTATGAACTAATTGAATGAAACTAACAACAAAATATCAACAAACTTCACTCTATCGTGATTGATAAGATAGGAAAAAATCAATATTAAAAACCTGCAAATGATACTTTAAGAAGAAGGAACAAAAGCTTCACATAAACATTCAACATTGGCAAAAATATTATGTCATTCTTGAACTTTCTTTTACCCCGCATGAACAATCAGATGTCAAGCAGAAAGCATTGAATTTAGAGATGACAATTTGGACATGACCCGTTTTATCCTACCCGTTTTGCTTGTTTTAGGGTTGGGCAGACATGGTTATCCCATATACCCAACCTACCATGACCCACCCCTTTCTCGACCGTTTTTGGTAAAATTACATGTAATTTTATTCAAATTACTTAGAATTTTATTTTTGTTACCTCAAATTTAAGCTATAACGAAGTTGTAAGTAGGTAAAAACCTAAATTTCTCGAATAATTTACTAAGTTTATCATACATGGTTTGCTTCTTGGTTTTTCAATTTAAAAAATAGATATTTCTAATTTTTTTTTCTTGTTAAATTTATGGATCGTTTTGTCCCGACATACGACTTGTAATAAATTATCCGATACTTTAGAATGAGTATAAACATAGAATGAGTATAAACATCGAGATACTCGTCCTGAACTTAACCTACCCATTGCCATTCCTAATTAAACCCTCATACATTCCTTGGAGGTTGGGAAAAATTAATGGAAAAATGCCACAAGCTCCATACATTATCAACTAATTGATTTCGGCTTCCCATGGGTGAGCAAAGAAAGTGACAGACCGTTTAGTTAGCAAAACCCTAATGAAACAGTAACACATTTATGGGTTTAATAATATTCAAGAATTTTACTTTTGTTACTCAAATTTAAGCTATAACGAAGTTGTAAGTAGGTAAAAACCTAATATTCTCGAATAATTTAACTAAGTTTATCATACATGGTTTGCTTCTTGTTTTTTCAATTTAAAAAATAGATATTTCTAAATTTTTTTCTTGTTAAATTTATGGATCGTTTTGTCCCAACATACGACTTGTAATAAAGTCCTATAAATACAACTATGTTTAGTGGATTACTGTTCATGGATTATTTGTTCCGATCTGAACCTATTATACAAGTGGATTACTGTTCCATAAGAGATATTCTAACCTACACCACCGTCACTTTTTTCTTTCCTCCTTACCGTCACCCGCATCTCCTTCGCCTGTGAGTTTAGGGTGGGATTTGGGTTGGTATTAGCATAATAATCAAAACCGTGTTTCTACGTAAAAGCATTTTGGTGATCTAGAATAGTAAAACTGTAAGTTTTTAAGGTTTAAAGTGCTCTTTTAACTACATTAGTTATTAAAACTTTGTTTTTGCATAGAAACGTTTTGGTGACCTATACGCGTAAGAGCGTAAGTTTTTCAGTTTTAAAACTCTATTTTGACTAAATTGATCACAACAGTTTTTGTTAGTAATTTTTTATAGAGAACTACAGCTGGATTGAATCACGGTTAAAAGCTATTGCAAACTTACAAGAATATATTTTGGTGTTTAATCATTTGAAAAGTTAATGATGTTTTAGTTTGTGTGTTTACAACGATTATCAGCTTACATGACCCACATCAATCCTGAAAGAGTATCATTATGAAGAAGCCAATAGTGGCAAGGCTCAAGGGAACTGTTACATTGCACACAAGCTCATTTAGAATCCACAAGTTCGAGCTCCGACTTCATCTACTGGCATAACGTTCTCCCTTGCGTCGAGGTGCTCAAAATCAAGCCTCTCCAAATCCCCAATTTTCTTGATCCATTAACAACATGAAGTTTCCTGATATGCAGTTCAAAAATGAGTTAAAAAAAAAACTTTACCCTTTTTATTTGTTCTTCTCTCCCAATCTAAGTATTCAATGAAAGGAAATTAATTACCCATCTTCAATTTACAACCCTACCTCTATGATTCGACTTCGACAAGATTTTGGGAACTATCCATCTTCTTGCATGTTAAGTATAATGATTTTTGAAGGAGAATACGACTCTTACCCTTTGATATGAAAAAATGGGAACTATCCATCTTCTTGCATGTTAAGTATAATGATTTTTTAAGGAGAATACGACTCTTACCCTTTGATATGAAAAATGGGTGAAGAGAGTAGTAATACAGAGGCGGTTGGAGCGACCACACCATTCGGGCGTGGGGTGATGATGTCGGTTTCCAAAGTTGGAGATGGAGGCATCTAATTTCATCTAATTCGTATCTAGATCTATCCTGTCTCTTTTTCGATCATGTATGCCAAAATGGGTTAATCAAAGTGAGGGAAACTGGGATAACAAGGATCTGAACGAAAACTGGAATCGCGAAAGGAGGATACATGAAGGGAGGATACTGATCTGAAGAAGAAAAACATGATGTGATGAGATAGGAGTCACGAAAAAAATGTTAACAAAAAATCATTTTCTTATTTGTTCATTGAGGGATAATATTTATTAGTTTATTGATTGAATTGTTTTTCGTTTACTATATTACTTACTCCTACATAAACGGGCAGACAAGGCTCTGGATTATAGCTGGAACCCCCCCCCCCCCCCCATTTCCTGATCCATCTCACATCAATCACTCGACCCCTACCACCTATAGGTAGTTTTAGACAGGTTTCCTTTGAAGTAGATACCTAAATTCCAAGGATAGCTCGTAATAATCACTGTTCATTAGTGGGGGCCACGCTCTCCCCTGCGACTGGTGGAGGCCCAAAAGTTTAGCCTTCGTTGGCCCAAGTGGCACCCTTCCCCTCTCACAGAAATTTTAGCCTATCTTATTACCCCACTCTCCATTGACAGACCTTTGGATCTTTCTTTTCTCCATTTGTCTCACATCAATTCTGCAATACCCACAAAACTTTCTTCCAATCCCTCTCTACTTTTTTGTTTTCCTTCCCACACGCAAGACTTCTGTTCTTTCAACCATTCTTCTGACATCTTTTACTTCCAATGCTTGCTCTGCCAGCCTTCCCTTACCATCTTCTCTTCCTCATTGTCCATCACCACTTTGGCTATGGGTTGCATTAGCGAGAGTCTCCCCTTTGCTCAATCACACGCAACTCTTGCTTTTCATTCTCTTTGTTTCTCGATCCTTTTTTACGGAACCTCAGGTCGCTCACTCACTTTCTCTGTGAAGATGAAGAAGATGTTCATCACGAGGAGGCAGAAGATACTGCTCTCTTATTTTTTCCTGCTTGCTCGACGGAATCCTAGGTTCTGATCCCTCTGTTTTTCATCTTCTTCAGATCTCACCTGCTGAATTCAATGTAGCTTCTTATATTTTTTTTTTTCATTTTTAATCTTTGCCCCCCTCACTGGTTTGCAGGGAAAGCAAAACTCATTGATAAGTACGACGACGTGGGAAAGAGAAGGCGGGTGAAGCACTGAAGATTAATGAAAGCCAAAGAGAAGATAAGGAAAGCCACCTGGTGTAGCGTCGAGATCTGCAAGAGATGGGATTCGGTCGAGCCCGGTACATGTGGAAACGGAAGGAGAGGGAGGGCAACAAAATTGGGAGTGCATCTCAAGTGGGATTCCGCCAAGGCCGTCTGTGTTCTTTAGGGAGTGCATGACGATTGGTGGAGAGCTGTGGAATGCTGAGATTCCTTCAAAAGCGCTCTTGGAGTGGGGAACGATGCTCTGGTGGGAGAGGCCGATAGGAGAACTGGTAGGTGTGTTGCAGCTGCTGCATTTCGTGGGGAAAGGCATCGGCCTCTGCTATGATCACGTTGGTCGGAAAGTGTTGAGACTATGGGGTTTTGGGGAATAAGAGATTCGATGATTCGGATTAACCGCTGAGGGAGGGTTGTGTGGGGTAGGAATTGGGAACGATTTATGATGATTGCAACATCTGTTGTTCCTTTTCCTTTTATTTTCTTACTACCGTGGCTCCGGCCACTTGGCCGAGGAAGATGAGGTATAAAATTCGATAATGTAATGGGGTGTATAGCTTATTGTTGCATAGTTTTTTTTTTGGAAACACGTGATAAAAATAGTGAATTTTAGTAGGAAAGAGACATGAATGATGCAACGAATCAAAAATCATCTTTATGAACTAAAATCAAGTACCTGTTACGTTGTGAAACAATATTATTTCGGGAAATGAGCATCTCACAATCGTTGCTAGCTTTTACTCGGCCCGTTGGCCGATTAATTTGCTTTATAAAACTTTCATCTTGTCATCATTGTGCTTTCTGGTTTTTTGCCAAGCCATGATAATCTAAAGAAATCAAGAATGAACAATACGATTTGGGATAGGAACCACCATTCCTGTATCCCTAGGAAATGGTGGTAAACACGGACTCACCTGCCAAACTGGTTTGGATTGAGATTTTTATCGGGTATCAGGGAACCATGTAATTATAAATTAGACTTGATCAAAACGGGCAAAAACTTGAAATTCAGCCTGTTTGACCGACTCATGCCAAACTCTAATTATTCTTTACTTTTAAACTTTCTATTTGAAAATAAAAAATAATGAAAGAAAAGAGATGACTGCAATTCGCCATTTGCACATCACTGATTCGGGAATAAAACTATAGAATTTCGAAAGGAAACTGAAAATGTTTAGGATCGTTTTAATGTTAAAAATAACCAACTAGATCTTTATGTTTAGTTTTTTACTAACAAAGGCCAAACGATTCCCTATAATATACACTATAATTTAATCATTATGATATGAAATAATTACATAATATATATTTGAAATGATAAAAATTGAACTAATTGGGTTGGTCGAGGTTGAACCATTGAATAACTTTAAAATACATTATATTTTAGCTACTAAGATATAAAATAATAGCATAGTATATATTATGCTAGAGAAAATAGCTTGTTTTAGAATGACAAACCCATGATGTTCATTTGTTTTAACTCTTTTATTTTATGATTAGAGGTTAGCCAATTAGAATCCAAGTTTTTGCCTTTTCAGCAATAAAAAATAGTATCGTTTTTTCCTTTTCATATATATTTTACCACCACGGAGAAATAAAAGGACTTTAAGAAAAAAATTGACACTCCTGGACCCGTTTAAATCCGCATGTGTACGATAAGTTGGCCCGTTACACAGAGGAAAAAGAAAAAAATTGACACTCCCTATTCTACCCTTCCTACAAACGCTCCTGGAGCAAGGAATTTGAAATGGAAAAGAGTTTTTTCCTCTCTGCTATTATATGTTTTTAATTTAAAAAGATACAAGTTAGTGTGATTGGTTATGATCTTTTTTTTTTTTTTTAAAGTGGTCATGATTCGAATTCTAGTAAGTGTCTTTTTAATGAATAAAAAAATATATATGAAAACAAAAATTTCTTTCTACTATCACTCTGAATGCATAAAATTTGAAATTGGGCTTTTATGATGGATTCGTTTTTTTTTCCTGTGAATCCGGAGCCAGAACTAAGTCACCAGTAACGAGTATGCGGTTGCGACGCAGCATGGTGAAGAACGAAGGACGATTTTGTGGTTACCGTGAAAACAAGCAAAGTTCTCCTCCAAACCAAGAAGTTTGTGGCGATGGGCCTGAAGTGGGCGCGGGGCATCCACCGTCTGGAATTTTCTAGCACACTTTTCAGCAGCGGTTAGTTTTTTCCAAACACCTGTAATTTCACTTCTCTCAATTCTGGGTTTTATAGATTAACGACCATGACATATTGCTATTGGAGAAGCCCTGATGATGGATCCATTCGAATTGTGGGTTTTTGGTTTCTCAGTTCGTAGAGGACCACTAAAGAATAGTTGTTTCATTTCTTGGTTTTTGGTTGTTTAAAAAAGAGGATTGATTGCTGCCTGATACTATCAAGTTGTCCACTAGCAGACTTCACTTTCAATTGAAGAACCAATGCACTGCATTATTGTTTCGTTCACGGGTCATGGTTGTTTCTTGGTGTTTTTTTAATTGCCATTACTTTTGAAATGGTAGCAGATGGGGACTTGTGATTACTCAGTTATTTCTGCTACAAGAAACCGTGTAAGTTGAAATATAGATGCCTTATGTTTCTGCTGAGTACTGGAAATGATGTTAGTTGGAGGGTTCATGGACTCTTTTTTTCGTCAACAACAGGGTTCAGAGTTCATTGGAAGTAATTAATAGTTTGGATAGGGGTTAATTGGTCCATATTTGATGGTTTATTTTGTTGGTTGGTCTTAGATTCATGAATACTAAAGCTTAAAATTAGTAAAATACTTGGAAGTAATTAATAGTTTAATGGAACTGGTTGCTACAAAAGATTTGAGTATGATTTTTTGGGATCTGCTGTTACTTCCTTTCAAACATTTTATTTACTTTGTGTTTGACGAATTTGTATTCAGCTCATGCTTTGATCAATTTCCTTAACAAGGTTGTGCTAGACTTCTTTCTTGTGTGAGTCGGCTCTATTTACTTTTCTATATATTGTTCGGCGTGTATGTTTTCTCAACTAAACCCAATCATCCTAGATTATTAAGACAAAATGTAGGGGAAGAGGCCATCAATTCCCTTTAGAGTCACTATCATCAGATATCGAATATTAGGGGCTTCTGATAGGTAGTTTATGAATTTGAGGAAAGTATGGAGTATATGAATAACCCATGTGTTAAAAGAATAGCATGTGGAACTATAATAACAAAGTAGCCACAATGCACTAAGTCAATACATGATTATCAAACATAAGCATCAACGAACAGAGCTCCTTAACTAAAATAGCCAAAAGCAGTGAAGCAAAATCTCAGCTTCGTATAGTCACTCTTCTGACATGGCATACTTGAGGAGAGTGGGGGAAAAAAAATCTGCAAGTTATGAACCATGGAACTATCTCAGTGATTCGCATTTCAATGCCCCAAGTATCAAAAGGTAAATGAAGGCTCTTCTTGGTCATATGTTGCTAATTCCTATTGCAATTAGTTGAAAACTGACGTGGTTGTATCCCCTCATTTACATGGTTATGCAGAGGTTTTGAGGGAGCTTGATGAATGACAAGGCAGTGGCAGTGTCATTGCCTCATGTTAATGAAGGGAGCGGATATGGTGACAACACCATATTTGTTGTTATTATAACAACACTAGTCTCCAACCAATAGTAAGCTAAGATTGTGATGACTTTTTATTAGTTTAGTTGACCTAGTGTAAAATCAAAACAGGGGTATAATTGTTATTATGAAAAATATGTTTAAATAATAATAAAGTATTTAAAATTAAAAAATATTTTTTATTTTCTGTCCAAAATTTTGGTTGCCGGAATTCTGCAACCGGTCCCCAGAAACTGGTCGCCGGTCACCGGAATATGCTTTTTGTCGACAGAATATGC